GCTGACTCCCTTTCCTGAACTGGAGGGGAAGCCAGAGCTGCTGCTGCAGGAGCCAGAAGATACACCTGATGCTCAGGGATTGGTGGGTTTCTTTGTTGGAGTTCTTGGCTTCCCCTTCTCCTTGCCTTTGTGTCTGTTTTCCCCTGTGCTGCACCCCCAAGGGACCTCCAAGGCCTTCCTGTCTCGCCCTTGCAGAGCACAAAGCAGAAAGCAAAGCCAGTAGATCCGAAGGTAAAGACTTGGCCCTTCTTGTTTACCGGCTTGCTCACACACTCTCATTAAGCAAATATTAAATTGGGGTTAATTGTAAAAAAACCCAATGAGAGCTTCTGCCATCGCAGTCACCGAGTCCTGAAGAAGCAAGGGAACCACGGAGCTGCTCAGAAAGGATACCCTCGCCGGCCAGAGCTCTTCTGGCACTTCTGTTCAGGAGAAAGAGACTGCAGCTCTGAAAGCATTTGGGTATTGCACATCGCAGATAAGTGTTTTTTATTTTGCTTTCTTGCAACCCCCTGCCTGGGGCTTGTTTCACTTCCTGTGCTCTGCAGTTGAGCAGCTCAGTTTTGTTTTGGCTCTTTAATATTTATCCACATTGAGATTTTTCTCTAGTGCAGCATGGGATGAATTCTGGACCAGAGAATGTGACCTTTCAGGACGAGGCACAAAAACAAACGTTGGGTTTCGTTATCGCACAGAGTTGCTCGGTTCATGAACTTGGTAAAAGTAAGCAAAATCATACATCTAACAGATTGTGCACTTATGTCGATAGCAGGAACGTGCATGGTCATAAAGCGCTTGGGAAAAGGTATTGAATGTTGTGCTTCAGAATTTAGGCTGATCCCTAGCTGTAAGGGATTAGGAGGAAATTCAGTCCAGGGTAAAGCCACTCCATATCTGCTTTCTGCTGGGTTGTGGTCTCTATGTGGTGGCAGCTGTTGCCAGCTGCTGCCAGGGAGCAGGCACTGAGCACATCTGGCCATCTCTCCGAGTTCCTCTGCTTCAGGAGCGGTCTATTCACTTGATGCTACAGGAATAGTCTTAAAATAATTAACACAAAGTGCTGTGGCTGGGATTTGAGGCTCATTTTCTTATCTTCCAAAAGATGACGGGGAAGTGGTGTCCCTCCAGCAATCACTGTATCTGTCTTCGTACTTTCTCTATGGCTGTGTCACTTCACTGCTCTCACAGTGCAGATGGAGTTTTATCCTAAAGAAGTAAGATGCCAAGTTATTCTCAGCCCATGGTTTTGTTATGACATTTCCAAAGTGGAGCACTTGGGCTTTGCCTATTTCCAACTTGCATTGGTTTAAAAAAGAAACTAAACAATTTTTCATGGACCAGAAACAACATTTTGTTTTATTTGTAGCTTAGCCACTGGCTGAAAACTGCTTTTGTTCGTTTGTTTTTCACAGCTACGGCCAGTTCTGGGAGATAAGGATACATTGGTAGATTTATGCATTACAGCTTATTATGGAATGTAGACCCCTGAAATTCATTTGTTTGTTAACAGTTTTTGGAGTCCCTGGTGACATTAGCTTACAGACCCCTAAGGGTTCACAAGTGACAGGTTGAAGATGAGTGTGCTACGGAGTAGAAGATCGATCTGTCCTCTGGGCCTCAGTACTCAGCGAGTTCCTGAACCCAGTGGACAATTTTTATTCCTGGTGGACTCTGAGAGTCTTCTCCTCTGAGCTGATAATTGGCACCAGTTAGGGATGCTCCACTGCCCCGTGTGATGGTCATCTCCTTCCTTGGCGTGAGACCACTCCTCACCTAGCACAGTTGTCTATCTTCTTCTCAAAGCCCTTCCACTGCAGACACACAGAGCTGTTCAGTTCATGACAGCATCTTAGTCCCAGGCGTGCCTGCAATCGTGTTATCCCCCGTGCAGGCATCAGAATAAGTGTACATGCAAGTCCTTGCCCACGAAACTGCTTTTTTCATTCCTTAGGGGAACATTTCTGCTATTAAGTCAGCACGTCGCAGTGGCAGGCCCTGTGAAAAGAGTCTTTGTTCCTGTTCTCGGTGTTCCCGAGTTTCTCTATGCAAGAGTGGCTGCAGTTTTACTCGGAGCAGTATCTCTGTTCTGCGAGGCCGTTGCGCTCTGTGGCATGGCAGGGTGAAGTGACAGTGAAGGAATTCAGGCTGTGGGTCATCCGGCTTTGATGAGAGTCTTGTAAAATCTGCCACTCTCACAAGTGTCTTGGGACTTCTCCTTTTCTCCCTTACGCGTGCAAATGCGTTGTTTACCCTTGCAATTTAAAGAGAAGCGAGTAGTTGTGAAGCACTTCCAGCAGTTCCCCAACATAAACAGTGCTGGGAGTCTTTGGACAATGGCTTCCATTTCATCTTGTCTTTATCCCACGTGTGTTCCCAGTAGCTTCTGTCTGAGCCTTCTAGGTAAAAAAGGCATCAAGGATGGCTAAAATGGACACTGACCTGTGGAAGCAGCAGGACAGCCGCTGGGTTGCTGTCTGCTCGACCCACGCCAGAGCCCGGCAGCTCTGGGCAGCGCCTGCGGCTCTCATTCGCTCGTCCTTCTGCAGCTCGTCCTTCTCCTTTTTCTTCTCTCCCCAATGGCAGAAGCATTCTGGCTCTTACCACACCCCAGGCCACCCTTCTTTAAGATGCAAAAGCTGGCGTGCGCTATACTGCTGAGACGACAAGGTCCACAGGGTGATCGCGATGCCTTGCTCAGTCCTAGTTCATCCTTTTTTTGCTCCCCCGCAAAAAACGGGCTGTGCTGTTGCATGACAAATGTTGTTTCTGTGCTGCAGAGAACTTCTGGATCTGACCTGCCGTCTTGCCAACACCCTGAAGAAATATGGGATACAGAAAGGGGACAAGGTGGCCATCTATATGTCCGTGTCTCCCTTGTCTGTGGCAGCCATGCTGGCTTGCGCCAGGATTGGGGCTGTCCACACTGTGATCTTCGCTGGATTCAGCGCAGAATCCTTAGCTGGGAGGATCATGGACTGTAAGTAGATGCAGACTGGGGAACAAACCCATCTTGGACGGTGCTCCAAGACATATCCCAATTCTGTGTTTCCTTGGCAGAAAGAGAAAAGGTTCATTCTCGGCTGGCAGGATAATTCACTCTCCTTTGCAATGTACTGTGAAGAGCCTTTTCCTTAGTGGCAGATGCAGTATCCTCTGGCCTTAAAATACTTTATAAATTGCTTAACATTCAGTCTGCGCTGGGTTACTGCCAGACAACAGTGAAGCTGGAGGGAAAACCAGAGCTTAGGCATGGGGCCTGATTTGTTCTTTCGCAGTATAATTGCAGTGTTTCTTTGATACTCCTGCACAGTGTTAATTCTGCAGTCTCGATTGTGATACTGTGATTTATGTATAGCACTGGAGGTGTTGGCAGCCTGCCCCGACTCTGTTAGCCGTTGTACCAACAGACAGAGACGTTCTTAGCCCAAAGCCCTTGTAGAGTGGTTAGGTGAAAAGTAATGCTAAAAATACCAACAGAAGAACAAAATAGCAAGTGGTTCATGTCCTAGCAGTCGCATCAGTTTCTTTATGGCTAGTGTGAGGGAATAAGTCTTACAGCAATTTTCATACTTTTTTTTTCTGTTTTAGTAGAGTTAATCTATAGAGAGCAAGTACATGTTTTAGTTACCCCTCACTTTTGGCCACTTGTGTGGAGGCGATGGGCTAAAGAGCCATTTCTCTGCAGCCACAGCTCTGTAATTAACGTAGTGTGGTACTGTTTGAAGTGCTCTGCCAGGCTGTGGCTCTGCTGTGGCTTCCAGGAGGTTTCCCCTCAAGGTACGGGTGACTTTCAGAAGGCTGCAGGTACCTCAGAGCAGGGTAACACCTTCGAGAGGCCACTGAGTTTGGTGCTGTTCACTTTGGTTTGCAACAGACGCAGTCCCGGAGAGAGGATGCGAAAGGGTAAAGAAGGTGCTTGTTTGCTAAGGTCGTAGGAAGTCTTGCACTGGTTTCAACGTGTGAGCTGTTAGTGTAGAGCAGCAGTATTCACTGTAACACAGGTAACTGGGAAGAAACTGTTATGCATGTCGGCTTTGCTGGTCAGGGATTGAGGCACTTAAATTGCAGCGAGTGGTGCATAGGCTAGACATTGGGAAAGACTTTCTCATGTCCATGGTAGGCATTGGAGTGGACTGGTAGGAAGGGGTAGAATAGCTACCACTGGAGTATTTTAGGAAGATTGGACTGGCTGCTGTCAGAAATGGTTTAGCTGGAGCGGACCATGCCTTGGGCTGGAGGAGATAGACTAGATAACCTATGGAGGTTCCTGCTACCCACAATCTCTCTGGGTCTCAGGTTTTAAAGTATTTTCGTCGGTGATGCTGACTGTTTTTGATTAATAGAAGTTCTGTGTATTTATCACACATGTTGTACGACACATCATCCTCAAAAGAAAGGAAAGCAAGGTGCACATACTAGCCTGAAAAACAGGCTGGTATGTATGCTATTTTTTTTTCTTTTTAGCTGGATGCAAAGCAGTTATCACCTACAACCAGGGAGTCAGGGGAGGCCGAATCATAGAGCTCAAGACAACTGTGGATGAAGCTGTGAAGAACTGTCCAAGCGTCAAACATGTCTTTGTGGCTCAGAGGACAGATAACAAAGTCCAGATGGGTGACCGTGATATACCCCTTGAGGAGGTATGTTGGGGGTGTTGCCTATTTTCCCAATGTTTCTTGAAGTATGTGATGTTTACTGTGCTGGGGGAGAGAAATATGCTGCACTAGTAAACGTAGGGACCAGCTACAGCTAATAGAGACCTCTCTGAGAGACCCGATGCAGGGCTGTGCGGAACATTCATGTGAGGATCTTGCTGAAAGTGTAGATAACGCACACTCTGATATTTGGCTTTGGTCTTTGATCTGCTGTGGGCTACACTGGGAATCGGCAGCCAAGGAAGATCAGGCAGTCCCCGTACTTTCCTCGCATATGTGAGCTGAGCCAAAAGGCTATGAAGCAACCGCTACACTGCAGCTTGGCCCTCTAGTGCAGCCGCACCAGACCTGCCAGCAGTGACTGGCCTTCACACTGCTTCTGGAGCAGGTTTTCAGTCTGTGATGCTCTTCCCGTGCTGCCACGGTACCCCAGTGGGTAACGGCTATGTTGCAGTGACGGCATCTCTATGTCCCTGCAGTCACCTAGCTCTGCAGACACCCACTGGCACTCTGGGTAACTCCTTATATGTCTGAGTGTTGGCTAGATCATCTTTCTCTCCATCTCTGCCTTTTGGACCTGACTTCTGTAGATTAAGAGGAGATGCCCCTTACGGCAGCTGGATCTTCATCCTCAAATGGGTTGCCTGTACTTAGTGTCTTCTGGGATTGTGAGTTGTGTAGCTCAATCTGTGTGATTCACCTCAGCATGGGTAGGGGGTATGCTGCTCCATTTTAGTCTTGCAAGCAGTGCTGAGATTTAAGGAATGAGTGTTTCCTGAGACCCAGAGTGCACTGATGCCGTTGCTGCTGTTGTTACATGGTGTTCAGACACTCTGTTCTGGTTTGTCATATGCACTCTTAGACTGGACGCTGTTGAAAGGCAGTGCAGAAATAATCAAGTTCCTGGAGAGACTTAGGGACAGTGTCATGGTTACCCCATGATGGGAGGACAGTGATGGCTTGGGAATATATAGAACCTCTGCTTCCAGGGGAGGAAAACAGCAATCATTTTAATGTGTTTAGCTGGTACACACGGGACTGCAGCCTAATGCAGAAGTAGTTTTATCAGTTTGCTGGCAGCAGTAAACAGAAAGTACTCGTCGCAATAATGCCTGGAAATCACCGGTCTGCAGCCAAGATCATTACTCAGGAGTCCCTGTGCTGGTCACATGAGATAGGAGCAACTACTTCGCTCAGTTAAACAGAGAAGGCGGGGTTTATACGGAAATTGTCTTACTCCTTCTTACTCCACAAAGCACATTCTGATGATTTTCCTTAGTCTGCAAACAGCCTGAGGTGCTTCGGTGATGCAAGAGCTGAGCTCAGCCCATTGTCAGTTGTAGGGTCTGAAACAACAAGAATTAAACCATTAATGTTGTTAACTCTGTCATTACTGATCTTTACAGCAGTTGTGCATTCCAGCTCTTGTACGATGGCTTACTGCAAAATTTAAGCTCATATTGTAATGGAGCATATGAGAACTCCTTCTTAGTTTCAAAAACTGGCAAGTCAGCCTCAACTGGCAGTGCGGGAATGTCACAGTAAACACCTGAGATGGGCAGGAGTGCTGTATTACATCTGACCCTATCAGCTCTTCATATTTTACTAAGTTTTGTTTGTCAGACACTTATAAACAATTGGACCTGCTGTTGGTAGTGTTCACTTGTAAAGCATGTTTACAGTGTATACTTGTAAAAAGGTGGTACCTAGAAATCTCTGCAAAGAGCCACCTCATAACCCTTGCAGGAATCGCTGTTCATCTAGGACAGTACAGAGCTTGAGAGATGCGAGCCAGCTGTGCTTTTTTTACAGCCATATGTTGAGCATCTGGAACATGCAGCGATTACTGTGTGTAATTAAGTTTGTACACGTGTAAGAAAAATGTTCAACCTCTTCCTGAAAAATCTAGTCTGGGCGGACAAGCCGTCTGCTGCTACAAGGTGCAGTGACCACAAGCATCTCTTTCAAAGCGCATTATTTCCCCTTCCTCTGCTGGACTGGGCACACAAGCTGGGGCAAAAAGTTTGCTCTGAACTAGCAGGACATTGCGTCCTTCCCTCCTGTCGTTCTGACCATAGGGGTGAGGAGAGGATCTCGCCCACCTGGCCAAGCAGTGGAGTATGAGGACAGTGCCAGAGGCGGGAGAGTAAAGCACTCTCCTTCTCATGGGTAGAAGCAACTAGAATTTGAGGATCAAATGAACAGGGCAGTCATCCACTGCTGGGGCCAGGGAAGGGAGATGAATGCATAGTTTAACTGTAGCACTGCAGTTTTAAAAGGAAAAGGAGGGTCCTAACCAGTGACCAGTCAGCCTTGCTGCTGCTGTCAAGTGCAGATCATGTTTGCACTCACATTTTGGTTTTCTACCAGCAGCTTGCAAAGGCTTGAAATGTAAGCTATGACCTACCATTTTTTTCCTGAAATGTTGTTTTATCTGGCAATTCCCCTTGACTTCTGTGCCTAGCAGAGAGGCTAGGTGTTATGCGTCCACAGGAACCTTTCCCCTACGTGAGCACATAAAACCGATGATACATCCATGGATGCTTCTGAGGGGGCAACAGCAATGGTGGTTCTGGTCTCTGGACACTGCTGACATGCTTACAGATGGAGTGTTGATTGGCTCCATATAGCCAACCAGTCTTTCTGTCATTACCACGGGGGTTTTTTTGTCCTTAGGAGATGGCCAAGGCAGCTTCTGTATGCGCTCCAGAAAGCATGGACAGCGAAGATATGCTTTTCATGCTGTATACCTCGGGCAGCACTGGGAAACCCAAAGGAATCGTTCACACCCAGGCTGGGTACCTGCTGTACGCTGCTGTCACGCATAAGGTAACTCAGCTGCGTCCTCTGGAAAAGGTTCACTCCTGTTCCGACGGTACTAACGCGAGCGAGTTGGGTTGGTGGGGGTTACTGTATTTTGTATTCGCTGCCCGATTTGCTTACTGGGCGTAAACAAACTGAAGAATGTCTGAGAACGTGTAATTAATCTTCAGGATTTTTTCCTGGGGAATACGATACTATGCAAACCAGAGCCTAGAGTTATGAAAGGAAGGAAACTGCGGTGCTGCTACTTTTGCATTTAAAATGTGCTAGTGTTGCAGGCCAAAATTTGTGGACGTTAGAGTGATGCAGCAGAGCTGATTCTGGTAAGTATCTTACTGGCATTGGTAATGTGACTATTACCACAGTATTTTGCAGTGGGATGCTGGCTTTTTTTTATTTCAGACTGGGTCTGGACTCTTAAAACAACTTCTTTGCATAGCACTTGTTTGAAGATCAAAAATTACATTCATGCTCTGTGCTTGCACCTTTGCGCTGCTTTTCTGTGTGATGTAGGCTAAATGTTATAACCCCTTTTCTCATGAAAAAAAAGTCAAGGCACTGCTTCTTGAAGCTTCTGGTCTCAGCTGTGGATATGAAAAGGTAACAGTGAAATGTGGAAAGGACTGCAGTGAAAGATCTCGATCTGACTTTAGTGGTATCACCCTGTTTGTAATCACGCACAATTCAGGCAGACAGGGTTGAATTTTTAGGAGATTTGAATATGCGAGTGTCAGACTTCTCTGCACGAAGGGTAGTTGTTATGTCAACTTTTCTAAGCGTAATCGCCGAGGCGTCTCTTTCTTAGTCCAGAAGGTAGATCCTGCACCCCGGTGCAGACATGCAGGGAGGGACTGCGTGCAGCTGCGGTCCCTTTAGTGGTACTTCAGAGCCTGACAGGGAAAGGCGCTTGCAAAGGTAAGGTGAGAATTAGCTCTTCCAGGTAGAGGGATCAGCTGACCTGTGTGGCCTCTGTGGTCTTTGCACACTCATGTGTGCCGCTCTTGTCACATAAGGGGTTTTCTTTTAGTTCTGATCCACTTTCTTTCACTTAAAACATAAAACTGACTCTGCCTTACGAATCAGGACCTCTTCACCATGTGGCAGAGGAGTTAGATTTACAGTGGGAAGCATTTTCCATAACCAAGACAAGATAATGAGTTCTCCAAGATATTTATCTTGAATTTGATGAGCAGGGGAGAGGGGAACATCTGGAAAGCGATACACTGATAGAGAAGCTGAGCAGCTAAGAACATTTTTCAGAAAATGTTTCATGGGCATGCGTTGGTTTCTCCAGCTTTCTCGTGGAAACCTGTTGATATTGGTGAGGGGTCTGAGCCTCCGAGGGGTGCAGCCTCCCTGCAGTTCAGGGTCAGCTCTCCCACATGGATTGCCTGGGGTAGGCAACATCAGGTATCCAGGCCTCTGAGCTTTGGTCAGAGCTTTGTTGCTCCAATCTGAGCAGCTCCTGGTACAGCCATGCTCCCTGTATGTTTGCAGAAGCAGTCGGGAGCCTGGAAGCCCTGGTACTGGTCCCTCTGACTTGCTTCCTCACCTTGGGATGGCCTTTGTACTGCTGTGCCCCGTGTGCCTGGCTCCGCTCGCCCCGTGCGCTCTCTTGCTTCCACTTGGATGTCCGGTCCAGCGCCTTACCTTTGAGCTCGGAGCCTGCCAACAGAAAGTCAGCTGGCCTTACGTTTATCTTTGCAGTATGTATTTGACTACCAGCAAGGCGATGTTTTTGGCTGTGTGGCTGACATTGGCTGGATCACGGGACATAGCTATGTTGTGTATGGACCACTCTGCAATGGAGCCACCTCTGTCCTGTTTGAAAGCACTCCGGTGTACCCTGACCCAGGTGAGGAAGAGGTGGGCAAAGATTTGGCTAGACACGGCAGTGTGACAAAGGAGATTTAGAAACCTGTTTGGTGCGATCTGCCTGCTCAGGGGAGGTAAGCTCCGTTGCTTTGGAACACTTGTCTACGACATTCAGGAACATCTGTGCATCCAGGGTGAAAAAAAAAAAAAAAAAGTTGCCATTGGTTTTGCTCTATATTCACAGTAGTCACAGCTTTAACTGTGGCTGTTAAACTTTCTGCTGAGCATTTGCAGCGGTATGTCAGTGCTAGACAGATAAAGTGCCTGTTTGTGATCTTGCAGGTCGTTACTGGGAAGTGGTACAAAGGTTGAAAATTAATCAGTTTTATGGAGCACCTACGGCTATACGCTTGCTGCTGAATTATGGAGAAGAGTGGGTGAAGAAATATGACAGATCTTCCTTGAAGACCTTGGGGTCAGGTAAGGGGCGTGAAATCTTCTTTTGAAAAAGACAGGGGGTTCTAGCTGGTGAAATTAAAGTACTAGAGGAGCTCGGCTGACCAGATGGGATGTGGTTAAAAATAGATGATAAAGCAGGCTCCCCGTCTGGCTTTTCAGATATTTTCTCAGCAGAAGGAGAAACAAACTGAAGTTGGGGCCATTGAACCTTAGTGTGATTGCCTGTTTCCTAGCTTATTTTGAAAGATCACATTCTTTGCTAAAAAGATTTATCCCATGGTAAATGACATCACTTTGAATTCAGCTGGCATAGGTGACCTAAGCAGCATTTTGCTGCATTATTTAGGATTCTAGACGTACCTTATGCATGACCTGCATTGATTAGTTACTTTCAGTGATATTTATTGCTTGCCTTTTGGTCTTTCTGGAAAAAGCCCATCCTCGGTTCCATGAGCGCATCGCAGTCTTTTGCACATCCCAGCAAAAATGCTGTAAGCTTTCTGCTTAACGATCGTGCACCCGGCGTGTTGTGCCCCAAAAGGGAGAACAAACTGCCTGCCAACCCCCTGAATCTCAGGCTGCTTGCTTTCTTGTTTCCGTCTAGTGGGAGAGCCCATCAACCACGAAGCTTGGCAGTGGTTCTACCACGTGGTGGGAGAAGGGCGCTGCACCCTCGTGGACACATGGTGGCAGACAGGTAAAAGGCATCCTCGGGGAGCGTGGGGGGCCCCGACCAGTTGACGGGTTGCTGGTGGGCAGAGGAAGATTAATAAAATTTAAGTGGGATCCAACGAGTCTTTAAAAAAAAAAACCAAACCAAATCCTCCTGGCATTTTGATCAGCTTCTGAAAGTCACTGGGGAGTTTCAGCACATAATAAAAATGTAACAGTATATAAAAGCAATAGCAATGTTGGGTTGTTTGGTTTTTTTTTTCTTTTCCCCTCTAAATGTTTTTTGATATTTTGAATGCCAGAAAATCTCAATTGGTTCTAGAAACAGGAGGCAGAGATTGAATTTCTGGGCAAAGCTGGGAGTAGGCAGCTTGAATTGGAAACCTGATTTTCAATTACTTATCCAGCTGTACTGACCTTGATACGGTCTTATCATGAAAAGGCATTTATAGCACCATATAGCCACAATCTGTACTTAGGTGTGCTTTGTTTCCCTCCCTGGGAACAGTCAGAGGAGGACCGAATGCTAAGCTGTGTAGTCAAAGGGACCTAGTGCAGGATTGGAAAGGAGTGAGCGGAGGCTTGCTGGCTCTGCATCAGGTGGGTAGGGGACAGTGGCTGTCACCCAGCAGGGCTGCCTGGGAGCAGCTTCTCCCAGAAGTAATATGCTGTAGTTGCTTTGGCCCTGCACCTTTGATGCCTCAAAAAGGAGTGCGCTTCTGTTCTGGCAACATGCTTGGCCCAGCTGTGTGCATCAGTTAAGGCTTGTTTTCTGTTTGCAACCTGCTGGAAATGGATGTTTAAAGATAAAGTTGTCACTCTGGTCATCAAATGATGAAGACTGGCTCTTATAGATCCCTGTCCGGTTGGAGCAGAAATAGTCCCTGCCTCCTGCCCTCCCTGGCCAGCAGCTGAGAGAGGCCACAGCGCTTCATTCCAGCTGGGGCTGTGCTGCCTGGTGGGGTCCTGCACTTGAAGGAGTCCTGCAGCTCCTTCCTCAGCACGTGGTCCCCTCTTCTGGGCACCAACATTCAGGAGTTGCTGAAGGTGTCTTGCAATACGTCTTTTCCAAGTCGTGAACCACAGTTTGCCACGGAGCCATGGACTTAAAGGATGCAGCACAGCTGCTGGCATTCTGCCTCTGCTGAAAAAAACCCCAACCCTACTCTTACATTTCTAGCTGCCATTGGGCAGAATATTAATTCCCTTTCCGGTCAAGCCGCTCCTGATTTCATCCTATTTCTGCTAGCAGGCTCTCTCCTCAGGATCCCTGTGGCCCATCTCAATGGAATGAATTAGCTTCTGGCACACAACCAAGTTCCATTTAATCCAGACCAGACTTGCAGACTCTTTTTATTTTTATATTTGAAATAAAACAACCTCAGAATTCAGAGCAGCAATGTTAACTAGTGTCTACTTCGATTACTGATCTCTTAAACCATCTGGGTTCTCACGTGCTGAGCAGAAGGAAAACTGACTGGCTAGGTGCTATATGCTTTCCTCTTCACTGCTCTGAAATAAAACATTGTGGAGAAGCAGTTGATTACTGTACAGTGACAGAGTTGAGAGGAATCTTTTTTTTCACCCTAACATTTTTGTTTGTTTGTCTTTAATTAACTGGCGCATACAGTGTATCCTATTTCCTCCAAAGTACAGGGTTAGATCTTACATTAAACTGTATTTCTCCTGCGTTTTTGGAGCAGCAACTGTCAGGTGAGAGGTTAAAGAACACTTGCTGGACAGTCTGTAAGTGCAGAGTGCTTGATCTTACCTTGAACCAGGCACCATTTTGCAGGTAAACAGTTACCAGCTCCTGGAAGCATAATATAATGATAAATATTCATGAAATTGTTTTTGTTAGAAAGTAGAATCAATCTTTCTCCACAGACAATGCTTCCAACAAAGAAGAAGCTAAATTAATCCTGGAAACAGTATATATGCCATTTGAATATAAAGGGAGTGTAGAAGGAGATCATAGAAAGATTTTGACAGATGCTGGCTGTGGTCCTGCAGTGTCACCTCTTGTAGACAATTTCAATATAGCTTGTTAATTGTATTGTTGTATGCAGTGTCCTCTACGGTATGTTGCTCTCTGAAGCAGCAACGTGTTGCCAGCTAATAAAGCTCGGTAGGCATAAAGATCAGCAAGTGGTGATTTAACAATCCACTTGAAAATCTTTGGATGAGCAAATGAGTGAAATAGCAATTACGAGAAGCAATTTAAGTAGTGTGGTATGTGCAGATGAGAGAGATGGAAAATTCCTATGGGTCTTACTGCTAAAATATTAGGCAGTGCTGTGCTGTGATTGACAGTACTAGAATCAAAGCTGTGTTTGAGTTTCAGGTGCAGTTCTTCACAGTGCAGAAGAGACACTAGGTAGTTTTGCGGTTGGTTTTATAAAAAAAAAAAAGTACAGCTGTTGTATGCAGCTGTGAACAAAAGCTGGTTTTGAAAGACATCTCTGAATAGTACCTGGAAGCTTTTGTTGTTGGCATCATCTTACAGCCATTTAAACTGGGCCGGTGTTTCTGAGTTGGATTCCCCCCGAAGCAGTCAGTCCAATCTATCTGTGGTGGTGAAGACAACGGTGCAGAGAGTACCTGCTCTTCCCTGCTGCCAGGGGTGATTCACCCACGGCAGAGGGGAGCCTGTTTCGATGCATCACCTTCCCTGCTCACACTCTGCTGTCCTTGCCTAAAGTCTGGGTGGATTTGCAGTACGGTGGCAGTGTGGGCACAGGTAACGTGGAAGCACGGTCAGTGGCTAAAACTAGTACTTTTAAACCAGTTTAAAATAGGTCTTTACCATGCAAATAATTTTTAAAGCACCCTTGCCACCATGCAGCTCCCTCTGGAATGTGACTTTACTGCCTTATGGGCAGCTGGCTGCAGGATGTGTAGGATGTGGCAAAACCCATGTTGAAACATAGGTTGCAGTGCTGTATTCAGAATGAGTACTGGCTTAGGAAGAGCAACCATCAGTTTAATCAGGTTCCCTGATTTTTTTTTCTGTGCAAACAGAGAACAGCAGGTGTCTGGAGTGCTTTTTCCTTTTTCTGAAAGAATTCAAGACGACCTTTTCAAAATAAACAGAAACATGTGAAGTGAGTGCATGCCCATTAATGAAATGTGACATAATTTTACGTGTAAGCCACATGTGAAACTATTTGCTGCAGGTTTGAAGCTTAGGGTTCCTCAAAGAGACCCTTCCTCATAGCTACATCAGGGCAGCTGGATGCAAATTCAGGATCACATTCAGCCTTTCCAGTCCCTGGTTTCAGTTTTCACTCAGCCTCAGCAAAACTGGTAGAGGAATGCACTCTCCAAGTGGCAGAACATACCTTTATTTATAGAGCTGTATTTTTAAAAGCCTAATGCTCCTTTGTTTTTGTTTCTGACTTGTGTTTCTGAATTAGTTTAGAATAGAAAAGATCTGATTAAGGTTGGAATCTGATTTAATGTTCATCCCAGCAGG